GATTCACTTCCTCAACTTTTATGCAGGGCGTTTTGCAATGACTGTCAGTGAAGCAAATAATTGTGTATTTGACTATAGTGTTCATTTATGAAGTAGTTAATGGTTTGCTGCCTCGATATTTGTGTGATCGGATTGAAAGAGGAAGTGATTTTCATAGATATAAACATTAGAAAAGCGACAAAATTCATTATTTTTCAAAGGTATAAAAGTTGTTCAATTAATGAGTAACAACTTTGCTGAAGATTACATCATGAATTCAGTCAGTTTTATTGAGATATTCGCTTTTGAATGAATATGAGCATTTTGTTTATGAAAATTTCAACCAAATCTCTTATATGAATACTAAATCAAAAGCGCCAACCCGTGTAAAGTCAAAAAAAGCTGAAACATTCAGAGAGTGGTTGTCACACCAAAATACACGAGCCTGGATGTTGACCTGTGGAAAATATGATCTTTTATTTTTAATGGTAATCTAGTTGGTACGTTTGCATAAGCTGCCTGTATTTTGTTGCAATATACGGGTAGAATTCACATAATCAATTAATATCTGCATAATACTATCCTGAATCGTGCAAAGCAATCAGCAAAGTTGTTCCTTATAGCACAGACAAACAGGCGTAACTCTTCATTGTGTATCTTCGTTCACGCATTTAACTGTTGATTTGAACATTATCAGTTCCGCGAACTACTCGCCGCAGCGCTGGCATCGGATCACTTTGACGTTTCTATACATTACAACTTTTATACAATATTCTTTGCGAGTTAGCGAGCAAGCTTGTTTTCCGCGAGAAGCCAGAGAGATGTCGTTACTGAGGTCCTATGTTTTGAGATACTATGTTTTCAAGAACAACTTTTTCAAAGAGTTACGTCTGTTTGTCTGTGCTTATAGTTTAAGCTACGTGTGCTGAAATTCTGAGCTAAATTCGAGTTTGCTGAATCAATTCAAGAATAAGGAAACTTTTTTTTTATGATCGATGGAGTGTAGGAGTGTCTATGTAGTTTATGAACAGCCCCACAGTGGTTTTCTCACCTAATGGCATAAATATAGGGGTTGGCCCGTGGAAAATTAGAACTTTTATTTTTGTAGGCCAGTGTACTATAGCATATTTTACAGGAAATTTATATCTGTACTTTTTTCCCCTTGATTTGTTTTGCGTCGATTTTGTTTTCCGTGCTGAGCACCAATGCTACCGACGCCAGGGAGGCAGCTTCCACACCTATCGACCCATCAACTCATGAACCCGGGGACCAACGGCTTTACTTCCCCCTTCCGAAGGAAGCCGTGAACCTCAGAACATCCTGTTATGCCTCAGAACATCCCGGCGGTGCCGACTGGGATTGAACCCAGGTTTGCTGGGGTGAGAGGTTATCACGCTTACCACTACACTACCGGCGCCGCTATATCTGGACTTGTAAGCAGCTCGATTTTGTTTGCAAATCTGGTTAAAATGTTTATATATAATTATCTTAAAGATAACTTGTCCAGTTCAAACCTTTGTAGGGTTAAGAGGTGGGACCATCATCATCATTTTATCATCATGATTTAAAAAAAAAAGCAAAAAAATCTCGAATTTAATATCTCGCGAATGGGGGGCGACCCCGGCGTAGTGGTTAGCATCGATACCTCTCACGCCAAAGTCATGAGTTCAAATCTCAACCCCGGACAAGTCATGAATGACCCAAGAGCGTTAAAGTGGCTATAATAATAATAATAATAATAATAAAAAATCTTGGGAACGGAAAATTCTACCAAGAAATTCCTCCAATCAATTTTCGCTTTTTTATTATCTATTGAATAAACCAAAAATTCCGTACATTTAGTGCACGAAAATGCGTAGTTTTGTCATCAGAAAATGAGCCGTTTTCATGATGGGAAAAGTGGTTCACTTAACACAGTCGCCGAATATTGATACCGAGCACGTAATCCTACATCAAATCTACGTTCGTGCCTTGAATACAACCTCTTTCTTTTTTCCTCAAAGATAATTTAACTACCTACAACTTCTTCTCATGTTATAATTTTTTGAGTAAAATATAATCCAAAAGTTACTGTGAAGAAAAAAATCATATTTAAATGAAAATTGCAACCATTGGTAGCAGCGAACATGTAAACAATGTTTCATTTAAATCGGAAGGAGTCGAGACAAAATTTACATTTTTTTTTTTTACGTTTTTGGCTGGAAATACTCTATATCTACAAGATGTGTTCCGTAAGGAAAATTATTTGAAAACATGTTTTGTGGGTTACCTATGGTCAGATGAGTGAGTCTTCTGCGCGTAGTGGAAGAATTCTAATTTGTCCACCATCTAAAAGGTCTTGGCCTCTAGAACATTTTTGCCAATGACGCCAACTTCTTAGATGACCAGGATCTCGAGACACAGCTTATACAGGAAATTTACATGCACGCTAGCGCCACGTAGTGAGAAAATTCTAAACTAATCGCCCAACATCCGGAAGGTCTTGACCTACTGAATAACTTTCCCGAAGATAGTAACCTTCTCTATGGGCAGGATCACGAGACATTTCACGTTGGAACCAATGAAGTCAAATTCTATATGGACATGTACCACTTTTCCTCGCAACTGTAATATGTACGGCCATTGTGATATGTATCAAAAATTAAATTGTTCATAACATGTAAAAAAAAATACCAAATTTGTTTGTGATTTTTTCCAGTAAAACCTTGCATTCTGATGCCGTTTATGCAAAAACATGAAAATAGATGAAAATGGTCTATGAGCCACTTTCGCTCGCAACGGTTCATATTAGATTTCATTTTCATACAGTTCATAGGCAAAGTGGACCTTTTTTAAGTTCGCCATATTCGCCATATCTTATTATCAATAGAAAAGTGTAGAATACATTTATTTTCCGAGAGTCATATTAGTTTTTGTGCAGTTAATTGATGTTAATGCCGAATAAGGTGGAATTTAGACAAAGTGGACCTTTTCGAGGTTTTGAGCAAGAGCGATCAGAGTCTCCTAATGTTTTCATTCGAGACAGGTGTAGTTTAATATTATATTATACAATAGTTTTATTCTTCGTGACACAGTGAAAATATTTACTTTTTTTTTACCAAACTCATGATCAGTGCTGATAAAAATCATTTATTCTACACTAAAATAAATTGAAAATGTAGGCAACCTTGAAAGATGAACCAACTACCTGCATTAATTTGACATGATTTAATTTTGATATGATAACATGCTCTTGATGAAGCCAACCGCTGAGTTTCGAAGTTAACAATTGTTTTTCTTCATTCAAAGATGCGTATTCATTATCGTCAGTTCTGTTGTCATATCAATATTCAGAATCATCTTGGTGAGGGTGATTTTGAGTATCAAATAGGAAATGATTATTTTCGTTTTACGTCAATATGGAACGTTTTATGTTGCTTATTTCACTCAGATCGATAGAAGATTATTGCCTTTTGCCAAATTGATGATAATATCGAGGTTTTAGGCTCTGCAATCGATAATATTCAAAACAATGATTTATGGCAAAATGAATTTGATTTTTTTGCTTTTGAGGATCGTTTCCGATTTAGACAATTTTGGGTTGGAAACTCAAGCATTTCACTCATACGTTGACAGCGCAGATTTTCAAAACATTCGCAATTCATCTACACTGAGTAGAAGCGATAGTCAGTGCGTGTGAGAGTAAATGGGAAAACAGACTCTGATCATGACAGATCCTAATGCAGTAGCGATGTGCGGTAAAAGAGGTGAGGAGAAAGGAAACTAGTGGACTCTTTCGTTCTCGCGTCTTCTTATGCAGCAACAGACGTGACGTCACGTCTACTGTTGCATAAGAACACCGTCAGAATGAAAGAGTCCACTAGTTTCCTTTCTCCTCACCTCTTATACCGCACATCGATGCAGTAGGTCTCTTTTTTCATTCGCGTTGTTTTCAAAGATCAAAATGTCATGATTACCTGATATTTGCGCATGATGTAAATATTTACGCGTCGTGCATTGAAGAATACAATTACTTCCGAGACAGTAGAGGGTAATTCGGGCAAGGCAGTGGAATTATTTTTAAAGTGGAAATATGTTTCACAGACATTTTCCATTCAAGAAATGATTTGAATTATCCATCAAAATTTGAGAAACGGTACACTATACAAGGATTTCCTAAGATCAATGGAAAATTTAGGGGAAATGAGTCAAAATAGACTCCTTCCCGTCATCTGCCGTCGATGAAACCAACACCAATCGAATTGTCGTGATTTTTACATATGAATAGCTAGATTTTAAGGACCTCAGACAGCGACAAAAATAAGAGTTGGTTGGAAATGCTAACATGAAGCTTTAGTGTGAAAGTTTATTAGCTAGAGAATGATCTTTAGAAGAGGGTAGGTGGATAGTTCCGTTAGAGTACGGCAGTATGAAAATTGAATAGAAGTTGAAAATGAGCGAAGGGCCATTAATGCGACAGTTTTTAAAGTCAGACGCACATCTTTTGCCTAACCCGTACGATGTACGCGGAGACTTGAAGTGAATGTGACAAAAATAAGTTAAGTTTTTTGGCTCAATCAAACTCCACAAATTCAAATCCAAAATAAATGCCTTCTAATAAAATTACAATATTTTAATGCAATCCTACTAACCAACACCAAATGACCTATAAAACGTGAATCCTGATGAATGGGCGTCTTAGTAGAATACCAGTATAAAGAGAGAGAGAGAGAGAGAGAGAGAGAGAGAGAGAGAGAGAGAGAGAGAGAGAGAGAGAGAGAGAGAGAGAGAGAAGGATTAGTAATTTCCACTTAATTCCACTACCATATTTGCTTATCCTTGACAGATACGCGTATTTCGTCTACAATGTGCAGGCTTCTTCAGTGTCTTGTACTTATACTCGACTGTGACAGTACATTAAACACAATTAAAATAAATTAAACTTTTATAAATGTTGTATCACACTTTTAGAAATAGCACAATGTGCAGACTAGTCTAGACTAGTCCATTTAATAAAATTTTACATTTTTCTGTATTCACAGCACTTCGTAGCTATGATCAACCGACACTTGCTTCAATGGGAGAATTTCGGAAAGATTCTAGCGCTGCTTGTTGTATGCACCTTAGTTAGCCACATCCAGGCTAACGACGCATCCGCAGAGCAGCATCAGATGGAACACGCCGACCAGTCAACGCAATCACATAGCCTTCAGAAGCGTACGTGGAAAAGTCTGCAAGGGGGATGGGGTAAACGGAATCCTACGAATGAACAACCCGATGCGAATGTAGACTATTATGGATACCCCGGAAAGAATGAGGATCCAACTGATTATAACAACGCAGAAAACGATTTGGATAAACTCAACAAGTATATTATAAAAGGATTAATTAACCAGCGTCTGGCACAAATGGATACGCAGTACGACGGTTCTGACGAAGAATACCCAATGGAAAAGCGAGCTTGGAATAAGATTAACGGTGGTTGGGGAAAGCGAGTCAACTCTGGCCCAGCTCAGTGGAACAAATTCAGAGGTATAGTTGTGCATTCAATAAAAAATATATAAATGTAATAATGGTTCATTTTTTAGGAGCATGGGGAAAACGCGAACCAGGATGGAACAACCTGAAAGGACTGTGGGGTAAAAGATCAGAGAAATGGAATAAACTATCATCGTCCTGGGGCAAACGAGATAGCGGCAATAGCAATAGTTACTAATTATCCTATCACCAACTACCGCTCACTGAATTTGTATATATCCACAACACAGTCTGTTATAGAATAAGTTGTTTTTCGATATTGAATTTTGTTTTATATACATAACACTTAGGGCGCTAATGCAATAACACAACTGGAAAACGAAATGCGTGAAGAGCTACAATCTAAAAAAAAAACAGTGTTGATATTGGACAAATGGTGTTATCGTATCTTCTGTTTAGCAGCAATGGACTTGCAGTGAACTTTATTATGCCAAATGGAAATAGTTTTTAAACTAACAGTATCAGTGGATAACGCATACATCATGAAAGTGTAAAATATGGATGTATGTTTCTTGTAAGAAAATATTCTAATGTGCTACCAACATCATATACCCACGCCGTCAGTATAACTAAGCAAATGGTGACGCGAAAAATAATGAAAAAATAATAATAAATATAGCGTTTACAGTCAATCAGATGGTATATGTTATTTTACTATGTCCTTGTTCGGGCGACGGGTCCAGCGTTGTGGTAGTGCTTCTCACGCTATATTATAATTCACGAGTTTAAATCTCATCGTTAGACAAGTTACGAATGACATAAATTGTGTGTGTTGTGGAGTCCAAAGTAGACACAATTCCCTGCCATAATGCGTCTTTGAATTTCTCTGCTGGTATCATTTTCGGCGGTCACCAGTGAGCCCAAATACACGAACTCATCGACCACCTCGATTTCGTCACCGTCAATCTGAACTCGGGGTGGGAGGCTAACATTGTCTTCCCTAGAACCTCTTCCTTTCATGTATTTTGTCTTTGATGCGTTGATGGCAAGTCCAATCCGCCTAGCTTCAGCCTTCAGTCTGATGTACGTTTCCGCCATCGTCTCAAAGTTCCGTGCCATGATGTCGATGTCATCGGCGAAGCCGAGGAGCTGGATGGACTTCCTGAAGATCGTGTCTATCCCTGCTCTTCTGATCACAACTTCTAACGCGATGTTAAATAGCAGACACGAAAGTCCATCACCCCCTTCGAGATTCAAAAAGTTGGAAGGGTTGTATACTAGATACGACCGCAGGGTTGGCGTTGGATAACGTCTGTTATGTGTTGTACTTAATTGTGTATATTATATTTTAGGAATATTCCTTGTTTTTCGTGCTGAGCACCAATGCTACCCACACCCATGCTTGGCATACACAGTTTTGTCACGAACTGCTCATTTGCTAATAACTTTGCACACAGTTGACGGAACATAGTTCTTTTCGAAGCAGTAGATAGAATAGAGTGTAAGCTTGTTATAGATATGTAAAATAAAGTAGATTTTAATGCTAGTAGTAAACTGTATTTGTTTTTGCGTTGTAAAAATGAGGTGAGAAATGCTTACTACACATCTCGGAATTTAAGTGTTAAATTGATTAGTGTTGATTCAAATGTTAAGTTTTACCTAATCTTCGCATATTTATAGTAAACTATGAGCCCAATTTATCAATTACTTTAAAGAAAAATAAATTTCAACATCTGAGTGAAAAGTTATTAAAAAATTAGCAGTTGGTGTGTACAACTGTGCATGCCCACACCTGGACCCTACCTATCACCCATCAACTCATGAACCGGGAACCCCGAAGGAAGGCGTGATCAGAGATGTTATGCCTCAGAACTTCCCGGCAGCGTTGACTGGGATTGAACCCAGACCTGCTGGGACGCTTACCACTACACCACGGGCGCCGCTGCTCTCTAGAGTTGTAATCTTGTAACCAAAGTTGGAAGCAGGGGATACTCTACATAAATTCTATTCTAACTCTTTTCTGAAATGAACTTGATGGCCCTGAAAAGGGCCGTTTTGTTACATTGGTGATAAGTTTTAACCTCCGAAACCGTACAGAATGCGTCCCTGTCGCTTCAGAGCATAGATGACATCCATGGCCGTGACGGTTTTGCGCTTGGCGTGTTCAGTGTAGGTGACGGCATCACGCATATTTTCACCTTCAGCACACCTCGGGTTTCCTCGAAGATCAGACCGGAGGCGCTTGACATAACCACGTCGAGCCAGACGCCGAAAAGTTATTCCTATTTCCAATTAAACACATATAATATCATAGTGATAGCAATGTTTAACATATTTAGCAGGGTTTTAATCATACAAATGCAAATCGCTAGCTTTCATGCTAAAAAATACTAGTGTTTGAGTCAAAAGTTATTATTCGTCGTTTGATGGCCCCTATTGTTACTTAAGTCAAAGTGTATTTACCAGGATATTCGGGAGAATTATCAATTACGTCTCCTTACGTGCAGCCCTCATCATTTTAGGACCACCGAAATCATCTTAGCAACCAACAGTTCGATTTATTCACTTTAATAATGAGAAAGCGAAACGACGAACGAACACTTTTCACGGGATTCTCAGCGCTGTTACTTAAGGCAAACGGCAGCTCCATAGAAATCGGGTGACTTAAGTAACATCGAAAACTATTTTGATCGGAAGGTGATTACGTCAAAAAGCAATTTGACTAGTAAATAAATTTAAAAATGGGATGTGATCCTATATTCGGACAGTATATAGTGTAATAGCAGGAGCATCGATTGACACTGATAGCTCGACTTTGTTTACCTTTACTTTCGACGTAATGAAAATTTGCTCTTGAGTTGTGATCATTCACGGAGGAGCAACTACGAAGTGCACGGTCAGATAACGATAACTCGACGGCAAACACATTCATTGACACGTTTGTTGTTGTGGATGATAGAAAGGCATAGCAGAAATAGTGCGAAATAGGAAACCATGGTCATCACAAAAGAGGAAATCGAAAAAGAGAATTGGCTTTCACCCTTCTGCTTCTAAGCCCCTTACAGTCATCGTTATAGCATCGCACCGCTTTTGGTTCTAGGGCACTTGCTGGTTGCAATTTTTCGATCAGGATTCACTGTGATGCGATCAGTTGTAAGCAGCAGAAATTTCCTTCCCAACTCTCTTGTGGAATCTTTTAGTGGCTCTGAAAAGGGCCGGTTTTGATAGATTTCGACGGAAAAATTAAGAACGTTCACGACAAATACGAAGAGCCAGCTGAACGTCCTTTGGCATAATTGTGACACGCTTGGCGTGAATGGCAAACAGACCGACCAGGTCTGTTTATTTCAGTTTAGTTTAGTTTAAATGATCTTTATTTTAGTTTAACTTGGACGATTACCATATAAATTTTTACTAAGTGATTTAATTGCTTTCTTCATCTTTAGGTATGGGCAAAATTCAAAATTTGTTTTACAGAATTAGTCCTAGACTTAGTACACGGTCGACCACCTTGGTAGGATTGGTTTGTTTTGTTTTTAGAATTTGAAGAGAAACTACTTAATACTACTATTTACAGCTTAAAACTTACCTACTCTACTATATACACTTAACCTACTATGTACAAATTGCTTATTAAAGCATGTTCAGAAAGATTGCATTTTTGAATAAATTTGGTTGTCATATCATCAATTTTGGAATCTACTTTGGGAATTTCTGCCTCTTGATGGAGGTCTGCTATTCTTGTGTCGAATGGACGATCTAGGATCATCCTCAACACTCTATTCTGTGCAACCTGGATTTTGTTCCTGTGGGTCTGAGCGCACGATTCCCACACCGGGGCGGCATAGAAGATCGCGGGGGCTATGATCTGTTTGTAAACAGCCAGTTTGTTTTGCCTTGAGAGGCGGGATCTGCGGCAAATGAGCGGATACAAACACCTAACCAAGGCGGAGCACTTAACTAGGGTTTTCTCTATGTGCGAGCGGAACAGGAGCTTCTCATCGAACAACATCCCGAGATAAGTAACATCAGTGGACCACTCGACCCTTGTACCATCCATTATTACGGTACAGGAGGGAGACGGCTTAAGTTTTGGTGATTGTCTGTGAAGGAACATGATCGCTTGGGTTTTCGAGGCGTTGATTTTGATTTTCCACGTGGTGGCATAATCAGTCAAGGTGTCAAGGCATCGTTGGAGCTTGTTCGTAATTTCACGAGGCATCCTACCCTTGACGGCTATCGCGGTGTCATCTGCGAACAGAAAGAACACGCAACCGTCTCCTAGAGGAGGGATGTCCGACGTGTAGATGCTGTAAAGCAGTGGTCCCAGCAGACTCCCTTGCGGAACACCTGCTGGGATCGGAAATTGTCCCGAAAGGGAACTATTCAACGACACCCTGAACGACCTTTGCTGGAGATAGTTACGGGTGATTTTCACAAGGTATGGTGGAAAGTTGGAGTTACAAAGCTTGTATATAAGTCCGTCGTGCCAGACATTGTCAAACGCCTTTTCGACGTCTAACAAGGCCATGGCTGTGGACTTGGATACAGCTTTGTTACTTCGGATGTTATTCATCACCCGCACTAGCTGATGATTGGTGGAATGCCCCTTGCGGAACCCGAACTGTTCCGGAAGAAGAATGTCATGTTCCTCCACAAACTTGTTTAGTCGGCTGAGGATCAATTTTTCGAACAGCTTGCTCAGCGCTGAGAGCAGGCTAATCGGTCTGTAGCTTGACGGTAGTGAAGGGTCTTTCCCAGGTTTGCGGATCGGGATGATTTTTGCCACCTTCCAGATGCTTGGAAAGTAGTGCAGCTCCAAGCATCTGTTGAGGATGGCAGCCAGCAGCGAGTGCACCCTCGCGCTGAGATTTTTCAACTCTAGGTTGAATATTCCGTCAAACCCGGGAGCCTTCATGTTCGTACTGTGTTTCAGCGCTGAGCAAATTTGTTCCTCTGTAATCCGTTCTTCTGGAGGGACGGCACAAGGGGAGGCATCTAACGTCTGGACGCACTGCACAACCTGGTTCTCGAGTGGACTTGGGATTGTAGAGCCAAGCAAATGCGACTGGGCAATGTGCTCCCCAATTGCATTGGCCTTCTCTTCGTTGGTGATAAGCCGTTCGTCATTGACTCTAAGTGGTGGAATGGGCTTGGGGTGAGACTTCAGCACCTTGGCAACCTTCCAGAATGGTCTGGAACGGTCGTCCAGGTTCTGAACGAGCCGCCCGAAACTCTCGTTCCGGATTGAGACCATTCTGGAAGCGATCTGCCGATTCAGATCGACCATTTCGTATTTACGCTGCAGATCCCCAGTCCGCTGAAACTGGCGTCTACGAACATTTCTGAGCCGAATCAAGAGTTTGGTGTGGGAATCAATTGCTTGAAACTTACCCCTCACAGGAACTCGTCGAACGCACTCTTCGTCAGCCACGGATATGGCTTGATGGAGACCCTCCAGGGCCCGGTCGATGTCCTCCACTGTGTCGAGCGGTGGGTTGTCGTCGATGTGGCGGTCGACCACGCGTCGAAACTGGACCCAGTTGACTCGATGGTAGTCCTTCCACTGGCACGGTGCAGGGGCCACGTTGTAGCCCAGCTCGGTCAGCACCGGTTGGTGGTCCGAACTCAGGTCGTTGACGGCAACCGGCTTGGCTAATCTGGTGTTTGCCAAGAACAGGTCCAGCGTCGA